CAGGATCCGCTGTGAGACACCGGACCTGATGCTCGCCCTTGGTTTCTGGGCGAGTGGCAAACTCCTGATCGAGCTGCACCATGATGATTTCCGCCATATACTTGCTAGCCTTGTAATGACTGTACCTAACGCCGTCATTGTAGGTAAGAAGTTGGTAGTCGCTCATGGTGTCAGGTTTGAGCGCATCAGGGGTGGAAGTTACAGATGAGGTGTAGACGATGCGGGGTGAGTGAGGTAGACTGGCAGGTGATCGACGGAGCATCGGTTCGAGCTCACGGGCCTGGAATCATCAGCATTACAATTTAAATGTAACCACTATGAGAAATGTGCGCTCACGAGGATATATGGAGCAAACACATTGATGCCCCATGGCATACCTCGTTCCCCATCCGCACTCATGACTCCAGCCCTCTCGAGGACAAAAGTCGGATGTGAAACAGCATATGACAATCCATCAACGAAAATCTGCTTTACAAAAGCAAGCCAATTGAGCCCGGGAGTATTCGTTATTCCGGCATTGAGGTACAGGGATGTGATGTGAGGGTACCTGCAGTGGGATTGATCTCAGCTTGAACAACTTCTCTCAGTTGCCATGTAACATATGCACTCACGTAGACTTCATTCGCTCGCAGAACGCCAATATTCATTCTTCCCTCCCATGGCATCGAGGTCAACAGCTTCCCATTCAACACGAAGGCCCTCTCTCCATCCTTCCCGTATTGGTAAACCTCGTTTCTTCCGACGAGCAAGCTCCTTGTCATGACGAGCTAGTAGGAGAGTTCGCGCCTTCTCTGCTCTCGCTTGTGATCGACAGGCTAGGATCAGTGTGAAGGTTGGAGGTGGTCTAGCGAGTAATTCAGAGCTTGAGCTCGAGCTCGAGCAATTGTCCTTCAAGGATGCCGGAGAATCCGGGATCTTGGAAACTTGAGCAGTGAGGGGCAAAGGAGTACCAGAAGGGAGCGAGAGGTTACGCAGTAATTGAACGCAGATTCCAAACCCGAAACCACTGATGAGGTGTCAGAACGTCGTACACGTTCAGGCAGAGCAGGCTCACGCATTGGCTCCAGTGACCACAGCTATCATGCGGTTCTCATCTGGGCTCGGATGACTTCGAGAGGAGCGTGTCGTCACCATCTGACGCGTTTTTATGGGCCTGTAGCAGTAACGACACGTCTCTTATATATAATACAGAAGTATAGTTGACTGAAAAGATCATCAAGTCGACGTTTTTGTCACTATCGTTCGATGTTTTTAGACGTTCCCCTACAAGGATCGGGCAGCCACGTGGGTTCATCAAATTAGATCCCGTGCACGCTTCTTCTTTGTGTAGCAACCTTCACTTCACTTCCTGCCATTTCATTCACTTGAACAGTCAGCCGACATGGATCACGCAGCAGCAGCTCAAATATCAGAGCCACTCGACCTTGTCAAGCTGGCCTTGGGAGAGTGAGTCTCCTTCTCATTGTCTTGACTCTCTCACACGCTGACTTTCAGTAGACGAGTGTTCATCAAACTTCGTGGAGACCGGACGTTGACTGGTACATTACATGTACGTTGACCTCTTACATTTTCTCTTATGGTCACGTAAGGCTGATGGCTGACTAGGCATATGACGCACATATGAACTTGGTCATGTCACAAGTAGAGGAGAGCGTACATATTGTGGATGTTACAGACGCAGGACAACCATTACCACCAAGAGTGAGCTGCCTTAAACCCTGGGTTCTGTGCTCCGGGCCTCTCAGCTGACCATTTGTCAGGTAGAGAGGCGGAATGTTGAGATGCTTTTCGTACGAGGCGACAGTGTTATTTTGGTACGTCTATCCGCATCGCACATCCTTGCTTGGCAACGCTGACAATAATCGCTACAGATATCCCCAGCACAACAATAGTGATCATATGCAGCATGTTTATACCCCACTCTTCGCCCGTTGTTGTCGATGATAGTCTCTCTCTCATGGTTCAAAACACACGTTGTCCAAATACATCAGCAGGGTATCTCATTAATGTGCAAGGTATAAGCAAATCCAAGCAAAGGGCGAGTCTACTTGTTATCCCGATGTTTCCTTCCAGTTAGATTATCTACGAATCCACCAACTCGTCCTCTCTCTTTACTCTGCTTATCCACCTTCTTAACGCTTTGGCGCCTGCCAAAGAGTCCTTTTCCCTTTTCTGTCGCCTGAGGAGGACTGGAAGGCGGCGGATTGGTGCGGCTTGCTCGTGTTGGTGTGGGAGGTGGACTCTGGCAATTTTCCAGCTTGCGTTCGCTTGGTGTTGCTGCTGAAGTTATCTCTGGAGCCAAAGGTGAAGAAATGATTTCCGGTGAAGCGGACAGCGAATTCCCTGTCGATAAGGATGACACAGCTTGATCTTTCACGGATAATCCCCTTCGTGTGGCAGCTTCAAATAAAGGACTCATCGGTTTAGCGATTGGTTGAGGAACGAGCCCATCATCGATACTGGCTAACCGTTTCCGCCCGGGCGTGTGGAGGCCATTGATTCTCAGACCGGTGGGGGATTCATCGAATGAAGCACTCTTTCCTCGACGTAGTCCTGTTTCCACGCCACTTCTTGATGGCCTCAATCCCAGCTCGCTACCTGAACGTCGCTTGCCGATTTCACTAGTTGTACGCCCAGAGTAGGCAGTAGATTCATCGTAAGTAGCCTCAGCCCACTGACGTAGCGAGATACGAGGGCTAGGAGGGAGAGATGGGACACGAGAGGATGATCTGGATTGAGAGCGAGTGGGCTGAGCAAAAGGATCTTGGAGTTGAGAGAGCATGGAAGGAGATCGGATGGGAAGGAATGAGTTGCGCGTAGGTGATGCTGGGAGGGAAGGCAGTGGTGTGGGGGTAAAGTCCCAGGAAGAAGCGCGAGAGGCGAGAGACGATGATGTCGGAACTCGGCGAAGCTCTTGCCTTAGTTCGAGTGATGGAACGTCACCTATCGTATGATCAGTTCCATGCACATGACATGACCGAATAGCGAAACACACCTAGGAGAGCCTCTGCGAGCCATGCTTTCCGCTTGGCACCCTTCAGCCAAGGATGATCCAACAGTTGAGTTGCGGCAGGTCTACTGTCAGCACTGGACCAGGTATTAGAACTCACCTCTTCGCTGGATCTTTGGCCAAGCAGGAATCGACAAACTCCTTCATTGCCTTGCTGAATCCACCCGACCGACCCAGGGTTGGTGCAGCATCCATAACGATATGTTGGAGAACTTTCTGTGGTCTGCCCCTGGGACCTGGCACTACACCGTGCGCCAATTCTATGTCTATCAGTATGACATTCAGAGTGAGAGTATCAATCTCACCAAGAACAGTGATCCCTAAGCTCCAGATATCCGCCTTTGTGTCGTATCCATGTCCCACCACGACCTCAGGTGCCATCCAGCTCGGCGTACCAACAAAGCTCTTCCTTCTTCCAATCTCTGGTAAGATAGGGAGACGTGTCAATGGTTCCTTCCTTTGTGCACTACTCAAGCTGCTCGGCTCGAATACGAGGTTATCGAATCGCAGGTCTTCAGCAGCCGTCGGACGCACGTCGATGAGTGGGGAAGAGGCGGGCACGTTGAGGTCACCTCCTGCGCCAAAGTCTGCGAGGAGTATACTTCCATCTGCATCAACAAGCAGATTCGCAGCTTTCAAATCTCTCTATTTCCCCCTCATCAGCTACATGAGCTTCAATCACACTAGACGACGTACGTGCAGGAACCCCTCTGCATGGAGGTATTCCAACCCTTCTACGACCTGCCTCACTATAGCCTTGACCTCTTCTTCAGTCAGCCCCTTATTTTCTTCTGCATCCACTTCGTGCTTCCGCCCAAATTTCCTCAATCCTCCAAAATGCCCCAGCTTCGGTGTACCCGATAATCGTCTTCTCCACTCTAGGATGCCTGCGAGTGAACCACCAGGGATCAGAGGAGTGACTATTGCCACGCGCTTGTGATCTGGCGGAAGAGTGAACGTGGCCAGGATCCTACGAGTACATGTTATCAGATGGGATTCGACCACGAGTGAGACCGAGGAGGTCTGGATTACTGACCTGAGAAGATTCTGTTGTCGACTTAAACCAAGTAGACGTGCTTCTTTCAATAACTGCTCAACATCTGGATGAGAGCTTGAAATCTTGATAGCGCATGTCCGTGCTGCCATGTCAGACGATGCAACACGGAATGTAGCTGAATAGACTGTCGAATACGATCCGAAGCCTGAGTGAGCCCCATCAGTTAGTGGAGTGCTAACGTAGGGAGCTGTGTATGGTCCACTTACCCACTGGCGCGCCGATCTCATAGTCTGCATAATCAGATGTGAAGACAGACCAGTACTCGTCGTCCAGCATCCCAGTACTGCCGACAGGAAGAGATGTGCGGCCAGACATGATATGCCGATAGGAACTGGCTCTTCAAGGGATCATCAAAGAGTGAGTCGCGCTTTGACGATTCGCTAGCCTGTTGGGGCTTCACTGTCCGACTGATCAGCGACGGGCATGATGTACAGTATCGATGATTTAATGATAAGCCCGACTTGGTGATATACGTGCGTAAAACGAAACGCGATTTGTTTACAATCATTAGCCTCCGCGGAATCTACGCCAAGACCAGCATTAATTGCTTTATACGTTCGTCTTTTATCCTATCTCGTTTAAAGTGAGGAGCACAATATCTAATGCACCCTACTCTACGGTGTTGCGCTGAGGCTTCAGTGGTCTCAGAAGGCCTTGGGGCGTAGCGATTCATTCCCAGCATCGATTTTAAGGTGATCGCTTACTATACTTCAAGTATCTTGCTTTCGTTTAATGCCTTTTACAAAGAGCTGTTTTGTAAGCTTTTCTTCATGACGTACAGTATGCAGTCAGGAGTCTTCTTGGTTGATCGAACTCCCTCGATGCCGTTTAATGTTGTTTTCTTGGTACAGAGTACAAAGGGGAAGCAAATAACCGTTTATAATGATCCATGAATTCTCAGTCCTCACAATCCGTGGTCGCGGAAGCAAATTAGGCACTTTGGCCGAGTGGTTAAGGCGATCGCTTGCTACTATTTAAGGTAGCGGTTGGGTTTACCCGCGTGAGTTCGAACCTCACAGGTGTCGTTTCCTTTTTGAGAAAATATACATAGGAAACCGTGTGTATTTCTTATATCTATGTTTTCATCGCTCGAAGACGCCTTGTACATCATCGTAAACTCTCGATTAGTTATATACAGCTAGTCACAGTTCAGGACAAGAAGCACCGGAATAAGATGGCTTGCAGCAGCGTGTGGAATGGCGTCTCAAGTATTGTCCTTTTCAATCGAACTATTCACTCCGTACTTTGAGCACAGAAAGATATATCTCCTGAAGCTAAGCTTTGAGGTACACATATAGCACATGCATCGCTTCGTGCTATCTACCTTTTCTGCCTACCGTGCGTCCAAGCCCTAGTCTAGCTTGCAAGCTGACACCGCTACGATTTACGATTGTCGTGCTGCTCTGCTGAAAAGTCGGCGCCATGATGATATCGTCCTGCTCATCCTGTTTCTGAAACCCTCTGCCCTTCCTGACGATACCATCCTCATTATCTGTTGATCGACTCCGAATAATGAGCTCGACAGGTCGTTCTGGTGTTTCTGATTTCGACGCATCGCGAATATTGAGTGTGGGCGTTGAAAGTGTTGGTGTTGGTGTTGGTGTTGGTGTTGGCGTTGGTGTGGGTCTGCGAATGGTCAGAGTTGATGCTGGAGAGTCGATCTTCCTGATATTTAGAGACGAAGCGGGAGATGATTCGGCTTTACGAATACTGAGTTGAGGCTGTGTCAGTGTAGGTGTTGGCTTGCTACGTATGCTCAGTGGTGGTGCAGGGGATGAGGTCTCCCCCTGAGAGTTCGTCTGAGACATGGCACCGTTGTTCCCTGTCGATGGAGGCGCTAAGCCCATGCGGCTGAGCAGAGATGACTGAGCGGGTGTAGATGGCTTTGCCTTTTTGGCATCTGGTTCTTCCATCCGCTCGGACATGCGAGAGAGGAGCGATGATCGCGGTGTGCTCTGAGACGTGGGTTCATCGCGGGGCCGTTTCGCTGACAGGCCTAGACGTTCTGCTAGCGACGGTTGGGAGGATTGGCCTTCAGTTGAAGGTATCGGACCAGAAGGCGCCTTGAAGATCTCCTTGCCTCGTTGAGAGTTCTCAGACGACGAGACTGGCCGCATCGCAGAGGACTGAAAGATTTCCTTTCCTCGGATCGACAACTCAGTAACAGGCTCCTCGGGTACGCCGTTCCTCGTGCTGATCGTCGCTAGTGTCTGCTCTGGGACAGGCGGAATTGTTTGGGAAGGCTCGGTCGTTTTCAGAGCAACATTGGACGCCTTGATATTGGGACGATTCCCAGAAGGACCAGTAGGCAACTGTTTAGATATAGGAGCGGCTTGCTGAGTCCTTGGAGGATCGGTCGGTGCCTTCTGAGCCGATGAAGATGACACCGGGTGCAACGGCGGTGTGTTGGATTGAGGAGCCGAAGGTCGATTAAGAGCTGTGGGGGCTAGTGGGGGAGTAGGAGGTCGCTGGGGTGATACAGGTGCAGCCGCTCTTGGGCCAGCCGGAGGACGAAAGGCGTTCTTCGGACCGCTGGGTATTGACGGTCCTCGAGGCGGAGCAGCAGGTGTGGCCTCTGGACGTCGCTGTGTCCATGTCGGCTGGATTTGGAGAGGGCGCATCACAGGATCACGAAGCACCTGTCATCAGCTCTATACCGGTTTGAGCGCTCACATCTGCCATATCGCGGATATTCTTCCACGTCCGACCCTTGACGCTGTCTCGGTCTCTTTGATAAATATCATCTGCGTCGTCACTGAACTTGCGGAGCTCTTTCGCATCTGAGGAACGTATATCCCGCCTTCGATCTCTCTGTCCTATTAGCGTAATTACGAAAGATGCACGTACAATTGTCAGAAATCGATATAAAAGCCACAAAACGGTCTCTGAAACAGTAGAGAGACCTTCAAAACCCTTTCCAACGCTGTCATACAAATCCTGTTTGATTAGAGGAGTAGGGCCTGGGTGTGACTCACCAAAAGTGCACCAAGCAGCGCCTTTGACAGCTTTTTGACTAACGCCTCCTCACTGATCTCCCTATCCTCGTCTTTCCTACCCTTTGACCACCTGTCCAGCGCACCCTCAACCCACCCACGACTCCTAGTCAAGACGTCAAGTGCTGATACGTTCCCATCGTGCGCCAACTCGATCACCGCTGCACCATGTACCGCCAAAAACAAAAAGCCATATCTCGGATCTAAAGGTGGGTTCCGCTTGCAAAAATCGTCGAAGAGGGTAACGAGCGGTTCAGACGCCTTGGTCGATGAGTCTGATGGTATTGTGTCGATCAGAATCTTGCAAAACCAGGCGCAGATCTTTGGGGTTGTATTTGATCCACCTATAGTTGATAGAGGGATGAGCCATCCGAGAACCATGAATCGTTGTTCTTTGCTCAATCGATCCAGGGTATCTACAAGACCTTCTCGAAAAGCATCCTCCGCCTCGAGATCATCTCCTGATTCGAGGATCCGTCGACGAGCCTCTGCAGCATCGTTCCCAATATAGTCCAGTACATTCCGCCGTGAAGCGCCTGTCTGCTCCTCGGCACCTTTCAAATCGTCAATCATCACACCGAAGACCTCGGATGGTGCTACATTGAGAAGCGTCCCCAAGGCATCTCGAACATATTGCAACTCTCGTGGCGCTGACCAGTCAGCGAATCTCCCATACACATTGACTCACGGCACTCGAGGAGCTGGAGTAAGACCCCAGTATTTCCCTTGACCCATTTCGGGTCCGCCTTTCCAGTAGCCGCTAATCCCTTGATCCCAATCAAACGAGTCTGGCATCAGTGCCTCTTCATGAAAGCCAAACATACCTTTTCATCGTCATCCTCGCACAGGTCAAGGATGGCATCTACAGCCTGATCCTGTAGATGCTCGAATTCGGCAAAATGCTTGGCCACCAATGTCCCGAAAAATGCTTTGCACTCATATGAGGGATAACTGCAGAGCTCAATGAGGAGGGTGAAGAATTTACGACGCTACGCCTGTCAGCTTGATTCATCCTCGTAAGATTCAGGCAGCTCACAGTGTCTGAAGTAGAGCTGGGTCCAGAAGCAGCTGGAAGAAGATCTCGGACTTCTTTCAGCGCCTCCTGAGGCGTTGGTCGGGACATCTGATGAGCTACCGATCTATTTGGTCCATCCGTAGCAAGGTCCGTCACTGGCGAGAAAGGCTATCAAATCCTTGTTAGCAGTCTGCGAAGGTCGTAGCACCAGGCCCCTTGGTCTAGTGGCTATTCTTCGCTAAAGCTGTTGTCGCTCTACGAACTGATAATACAAGAGATAGATGAAAACCCAACAACAAAGAACGCTTTGGACTTTTTGATTCCGACGGAATGCGCACGAGCCACCAAGGGCCAGTGGCGATTTTCGTAAAGGTGTTGTTGTTCGTGAACATCTGACCACTCGCCTACTGTTATCAGGCCTTATCACTTGGTATACTAGGAGGCAATAGCTTAAAATACATGAATTACAGCAAATCATATCTCAGTCCAAGAAGAAATGCCTGTGGTCTTTGAGAGATCGCCCAAACCAAATACTATCTACGTTCCCTTAGCCTGCTAGCCCACTTTGACCCGTTCGCCCCTGCAGTCCCTACACCACTCCCAGTTTCACTCCTTGCAGTTCCACGCAGACTAGATACTCCTACACCGGCGGAGGATTTGGACTTTCCAGGAGGAGCCGGAGCTAATCCGCCTTTGGGTATCGTTGGTCTATCCTGCGGTCTAGGAATAGAGAGATAAACTGATTCTGCTCGTGGACTTTGGGGGAAAGATAGTGCAGGATCCGGACGAGAGAGCCAATCAGCCTGGAAAGTATTTGCTGGTTCTATTGGATTCTGAACTGTATAAGGTACTGTTATTGGAGGTTGGCCAGGATAAGACGGCTTCGGTTTGGATTTAGGTTGGGAGCCGAGGAGCTGGGTGATCTCGTCATCTAAAGCTTTGGAACCCTGACGTAGAGGATATTGTTGTTGTGGTAGTGGCTGTGTTGCCTGACGTGGACGTCCACGGGGATCTGTCTGAGCCGGATGACGAGTCGAAGGTGATTTATGACGAGTCATGTATGAGTCTTCTGATTCTTGTCGTCGAGCAGCACGAGGTGGCGGAGTAGGTAAGACTGCGGCATGCTCACTTGAATGTCCCGTACCGGGTCTCACAGGTGGTATAAGAGGTTGGCCTATGATATAATCAGCTAATCTCGCTTCAGCTTGAGTAACGTACCACTACCACCACTATTTGCAGTATCGTCACGGCGCATCGCCTCCCATTCTCTTTCTCTCTGTATCTCTGCATTTGCCTCTTTGATTTTCTGTTGCCTAGACTGCTCGATGGCTTCTTCCTTTTCCAATTCCTTCTTCAATTTGGCTTTTGCTTCGACATATTTAAGACGCACTGCAGCTTTCTTCATGCTTGTATAGCTTGAAAACACCGAATCCCTGAACGTCTCTCGTTTCTTTGATTTCGAAGGAGGAAGGGGAAGAGATGGTGGTGTTTCTGGAGAACGTCGTTCTCTTTCTCGGCGACGATCCCGATCCCGCCTTCGATCATATTCGTCTCGTCTACCTTTCCTTCTCCTTCGCCGACGAGCATAAGTATCGTCACTATCCTCACTATCGCTCCAATCTCTTCCCCTTCTCCTCCTTCTTCTACTCACACGCCTCCTCCTGGGCCTGATCGTTCCTCCATCGCTCACACTATCGTAATCCTCACTCTCACTCTCACTAGCCTCACTATCACTATCACTCTCGGCAGCCGCCCTCTTAGTCGCCTCGACAAGTTCAGCCAATTTCTTCTCCCTTTCTTCCTTTTCTAAATCCTTCTCAACCCTCTTATCAGCCTTGACTTTCTTTCTATGCCGCCACCATGCCCAGACTCCCACACTCAGAGCCAGTACCCCGCCAAGGACGATACACAATAACTGCCACCAGGAGAGATCAGCTGAGGCAGCAGCTTCCGCTAAGATTGACGTCGATTTGGCAGTAGCGCTGGACGATGGGGTGATCGTTGTCGTTATATCGGG